TGGCGAATTGGACAAAAATGGAAAGGTGAAATGTGGCACACATAAGTGACATGATATTATTGAGTTGAGGGAGTATTCAGCTTTCATGGTGCATCCCCTCCTGGCATAGCTTTTGGGTGGGTTGGCTTTTCCAAACATGTTCTTTCACCAGCGTAAAGGGGAAACGTATAAGGTTGAAACTTTGTGGGCATGTACTTCTCCGAGGATTGATTTCAGTATTTAAAAAAAAGTACTTTCGGCTAAAACGCCTCAGGGGACATATATTGCAAAAGGCGTATTTTCTCGAATTTTCTGATCCAGCAAAACAGAGAAAGTTTAAACTTGGCAAAGAAAAACCTGGATAGCTGAGTAAAGAAAAAATTCTTTTATTATATATAGACGATCGTGAGTAGCTGACTGACATAAGTAGCTATTCGCATGCTGAGTTCAGGAAAAATTCTATTTTGGTGATACATGCCATAGGGGCACACCTTTTCGGGGAACATATTTTCAAGTAGTTCTCTTTGCTTCAATCAAACAGAGACACATGGAAAGCTGAAACTATGCAAGAATGTGACTGCTGATGCACTGAGCAGAGGAAAAACATCAAATTTCCCAAATATTGAAATTTAGGGAGGGATATTTCTTGGGACATTATGTTTTCAAAGAATTTTTCATATCCTAGCGAATCGGGAAGAAATAGAAAAGTAGCAGCTGTGCACGCATAATGGACGTGATGTTGATTTAAGGAAAAATTCAACTTTTGTTATGCATCTCCTCAGAGCACAGCTTTTCCAAATACATTTTTTACCGCCAGCAAAAAGGAGAAACGTATAAGGCTGAAACTGGGTGGCATGGAGTCTACATTTCAGAAGAAAAAAAATTTTTCGTTAAAAAAAAGTGCCCTGATGGGTTTTAAGTCCCATTTTCCTGAATTTTTTTTTTGATCCAACGAAACAGAGACAGAAAATTTAAAATTCACTCAGAAGTACCTATTTGATGGAAATCAAATAGGTACAGGATGGTACAGGAAAAATCCTACTTTTGAAATATGTCCCCTTAGTGTAGACTATCGGAGGGAAGTATTTCAAAATGTATTCTCCACTCTTACTAAATTTGACACAAGAAAAGATTTCAAGTTAGGCACACAAAGAATCAAAGAAGTTTTGATTTTGATCAAAATCAAGAATTTCGACCCCATATGTCACGTATTTCAATGGGTACGTACTTTAAATACGTGTTTCCCATTTCGGAAAAAAATTAATGAATTAATCACTATAGAAGGTAATATGGCGCCGCCGACGCGACCATAGCGAGTTTGTTCGCCCTTCGTGCAAACAAACTCGCTAGTTTTAAATAAACCTTGTCAACGAACACACAGCTAACATGATAACCAACTATAGATAATAGGTCATTGAAACCATTCCAGGAAGCCTATACGTTCCCACGACTCTTTCTTTCCGCGAGTATTTGCGCGAGGAATTTGAATGTTTTCTATGAATGGTCGATTTATATCTCGATATTTCTGGGTGAGGATGAGGGAAGCAACCCGAGAAAAAGATTATTTTTTCCTCTTTATCCGCCCCCCACACAAGTCATCCTCACCCTTAATCCTCATGTTTTAAAAATGCCTGATGAATGAGATTCCTACTCCCCCTCTGAGATGCCCCTAAGCTAAAAAGGTCATTCAAAATGGATTACGAAACCACATAGTAGTGGAGGGGAAAATGTATAGAGTGTTTAAAGCGGGTATTTGCAACTCACAACTCAGTTCATTTGCCTACTGTACCTTTCCTTGACGAGGTGAAGTTCATTCAAACACAGAAGAACACGCAGAAGCTGCTGCATCATGACTACCGAATCACGGAGAAGAATTGTGTTCAAGGTTAGTTCATTTCGAGATGTGAAAACAGAACTTGTGGAGCAATAATGCATACTTTTGGAGACCAAGTGCTGAAGGAGCCAAGTGAGTAGAGTATTTTTGCACATGTTTATACATTCGGAGAGACTAATGTATTTGCGTAAGAGCTGAAAGAAAGGTTTCTGGAGTATATACATTATAAATTGGAGTATTCTGCAGCGTATAATCTACGTAATGAATATATATAATGAAATAGACATGCTTCATGAAACAATTTTGATTGCCAATAATAGCAGGGATTTCTTTTTCTATTATACTTTTTTCTGAAGCCTTTCTTAAGCATTCGAAATAAAAGTTCGCAATCCATATTTCTTTTACGGAACACAATCATGGACCTGACCCTGATAGATTTGAAGTTGATCAAGTACGCGCTAATACGAAGAGACGGGCTAAAGAAGCTAAAGTAGTCACCAGAAATATTGATCAACATGGCTTAGCTCTTGTTTCACTTGAGGAGGTTCATATGTTACCAAGTCTAGAAACTTTGAGCTGAGACATCCACCGTCAGAGACAGAAGGCTTTAGTTGGTCAAAAGGAAGTGGATCATTTTGCTAACACGAGAGCGGAGCGAGAGAACATTAACACTCACTGGAGAGGAATTCCTGAGAGTTAAGGAAGATGATTTCTTTCTGTTCGCAGTTCAACTGACCTTGACGTGTTGAGACAAAGCAATCATTGGTTCGCAGATGGGACAATCAAGGTTAGCAAACATTCACAAACCAAGTTCTTCACAGTTACCTTCTTTCCAGTTCATGTAATTAGTCTGCCGCAAGAATTCGAGTATCTCCAGCGTTTAATATGTTATCGTGTTCCTTCCATGTTATTTGCAACATAATATCAATATAATAACATTTATTCCATTAATAATTTTTTTAGGTAACTCCAGAGAGCTATAATCAGCTCTAAACCATGCATGCATTTAAGCGCGACGTCAAGCATCCATGTGTTTACCAGGACGAAGAGAGGGAGAGAGAGATTACAGACGTTTGCTGGAGCATCTTTTAACCTTGGTCTCCGGTTGCGTCCCTACCACAGTGGTCACAGACTTTGAGCTAGCGACAATAAACGCTTTGCAAACGAAATTCCCAGGAGAGGACATGACTGGCTGTGACTTTCATCTAGGTCAGAACATCTACAGACGAATTCAAGCGGATGGTTTAAAAAGTAGATACGTCGCGGATGTCGACTTCGCCTCAAGAATGAAGTGTTTGATGGCGTTGGCATTTGTTCCACCTGACCAAATAGCTGCGGTCTACGAAGAATTGTGTAAGGAGCGATGACTTTTGCGATTTGGATCTTCTTTGGATTATTTCGAAGATAATTATTGGGTTGGAAAAAAGTATTGCAACACTTTCTAAAACTATTTATGAAAATTTTCAAAGGCATGATGGGCTGGGCTTTGCATTTGTATATGCTGGAATGTTCTCGAAGTTTCTGCCCTCGGGGTATATGAGGCGGCTTCTGGCATCAGTTGGCAGCCATGGCTCCGATCGAACGAGCAACTCTTATTGGAGGGAAGTATTTCAAAATGTATTCTCCACCCTTACAAAAAGGGACACAAGAAAAGATTTCAAGATAGGCACACTAGAAATCATAGAAGTAATCATTTTCGTCTTTCGTGACAAGACTTTTGTCCCCATATGTCACGTATTTCAACAGGGACGTACTTTAAATATGTGTTTGCCATTTCACAAAGAATAAATGAATTAATCACTTTCCAAGGTAATGGAGCGCTGAAGGCATGACCATAGCCTCGCTAGTCACTAGTCTAAAGTATTCTTATTCCATTTCAATTGAGAAATTGGAAGGCATATGAGGTGTCACTTCTCTTACCCAGTTCATCCATGATATCTCTTCAGTCTGGTTATGTTTTTGCAAATAGCAAACAAGACATCTGAGCTCATAAGCTAACCAAGGCAAAAAATTATCCATAATTTCTATCATTATGGTCTTGACTTACAATCCCAATACATGAATTGTCAAAGATGACACACCCAAAATTTCTGAGCATCTAAATATATGACTGATATAGTCATTTTAGTCTGCTCCTCATACACAGCACTTGAAAGAGTACATTTGATGATAATTTTGGCCTTGAACCAAAAAATTTAATTTCAATTGAAAGGGCAAAACCAACAAATCAATACTTCTATAATAAGCACTATGATTGCCTTTCTTTTCATTCAAGCTACAGAGTGTCAGTTGCACATATATCACCATGGTAGAGAACTCCCTAAACTATTTTTGCATGGGGGAAGCTCTCAACAGTGGGAGTTTTCTTTGGAACAAAAGGGAAAGTAGAAGAGGGATGTCCTTGTCCTTTTCTAGGAAAAGAAACAAGAGAGTCCGGCACTGTGCCACACTTATAGGTTTGTGTGTGTGTGTGTGGGGAGAGGGAAGTGTAGTTATTTCAGTTATCAAGAGATTTGTGCACACATACTATTCATATGAGGAATAATGTCTTCCAAGAGTACTTCATCCCACAGGCAGCAATTATATGCACTGCAGTATCATAACCTTTCTATGAGGGACCTATGGTTCCAATACATGGCAACAACATGCAATACAGCCTGGGATACAATGATATTGTAGTTTACTATTTTTATCAGGCATATTTTTCCAACATTATCTTGGTGAAATCACCTGGCCATCAAGGTCTGTAGCTCCAAATGATTTATTCTGGGGTACCAGAAAGAGCAGGTTCAAACAAATAATCAAAGAACCATTACTGCACTGAAAGATAGAATGAGGAATGCTTTTGAAGCTATCCCCAAGAAAACCCTTCCCATGGTGATATAGACTGCAGTGCTCAATGCACATGAATGCTGCCTGTGAGATGAAACACTTAAAAAAAAATAAGACTTCACTTTCATGCCTAATGCATGCATATTAACATCATTCTTGCTTGTCTGTTTTTCATATTACACAATTAAAATCTCCACCCTACTTTTGGGACACCCTATACAGCAAACATCACTTCCTCATAAAACCCTTGGATGCACTATGAATTATGTGCTGTATGTTGCTACATACATTCCTCTGCAAGCTGGTATTTGAAGAAAACACTTTCCTAAATGTGTAGTAATTATATTGTGCTTGATGCATATATATTGATGGCAGCAATCAAATATCACAACTGAATCACACTTTGATTTGGAGAAGCAGAGCAAGACTTGCAAGATGGTGATTCTCAGGACTCATCACCTTCCTTTTGATTGCCATCTTGGAGAAAGAAAGTGAAGCCTTTTAACACTTGCTCCAATTGGTAAAATGTTATGCAAAACATACCAGGGAGGAAGTGTCAGCCCTTCCATGCTTCTGAGCCAAAGACCAAAGATTCAAGGTGAGCTTGTGCAATGGGGGGTGGTTCACGTCTCCATGGACCAATATTTGCTGAATGAGGGTCAGGCACAATTGACTCTGCAGCATACCAAACATATACATGTTTTACTTCCACATTTCTTTAACTTTGAGATGAAAGCATTCAGGCTACCAACCTGCCTCTTGTAGAGGTGTCTATTACCCAGCTCTTTAAGATAGTCAAGGATCTGTGAGAGAATGCTTGTTCCCAATGACTCCAGCTCCTTCAAGAATGTTTCATTGTGACCATACATCACATCATTTGAATCAACTGAAAAGGAGTTGAAGCTATGGTCACGAATAAGGCAAAATTACCAATGTACATAAAAATTTATTGTTGAAAAAGTTAAGTTGGCCCATTTTTAGAGGTCATGATACTGCTTTCAAATATTTGAATGCTGACATTCAGACAAAATATAAATCTGTTGATATCAAGAAGGATACGACTTATATACAGCATCCAAATGCTGTATATAAGTCTGAGCTGTATAATACTACATATGAGCAAATGAAATTGGACATTTACCTTGGTTTTGATTTCTCTGGTAATAGCATAATCCAAAGGTACAAAATCAGGAATTTCTCAGAAAGAACAGATGACAGCAACATGAAAAGTATAAACATACAATATCAATGATAATGAAAACTTCTTTCCAAAAATGAGAAACCAAGAAAGTCTCAAATGCATAGGCCAATATGAAGATGCAAACTGCAATTGAAGGGCATACAGTAGATGCATTAGGCGGCAATAAGCTACATGTACCGATAGAATGCATCCAAGAGGTTAAGTGTCAATGGAGATTCCTCATTGCAAATGCAATGTGCACCTTCTCTGCACATCACTTTCATGTCCCTGTTGGTACAAGTTCATGGATACTGAAATGCTTACTTAATTCATGCAATATCAGGCTCCTTTTATTCTGTTTCATACTATATATGGAACTCTAGACCTCCTACCTTCCATACCATGTAAATAAATTACAACAATGAACAAATTTCTCAATCTGACAAAACAATGTCTTATGATATTGTTTCACAATATCTTATGACAAGATTGAAAGAATGCAATATATTGTTATTGCATATTTTTACTGTTATTTATATGTAAGCAAAAGGATATTCAAGCATCTTGAAGAAATGCATTCACTAAACAAAGTTATACAAGGGTCGGTAAAAAATAATGCCTCTTAAATTTTTCCTCTGGACTCGTGCATGGAAGACCGTCAAAAAAATTCCAAGGTAAAGATTTATATTTGCCATCTTTGCTGCATCAGTTTTCCGGAAAGGTATCAGTTGGAAGCACCACTGTACCTGTTCAAAATGGCAGCTTCCCTTGATGTGCATACAAAGCAATTGTTATAGAATTACTGACTGCAGAGGGAAAAAACATTCATAGGCGACTAGAAGATGTTAATGGGACCTCTACTGTTGATGTGAGCACAGTGAGAGGGTGGGCAAACAGGGTCAAGAGAGGAGAAAGCAACTTGAAAGACAAGCCACAGAGTGGTCGCCCTGACTCAGCAGTACTACCAGAGAAGATTCCCAGACTGGATGAGCTGATTCGCAATGATTGGCGCATCACGTCACAAGAGTTGTGCAAATCTGATGGAATTGGAAGACTAACAATCATCAAGATCATACACAACCTCGGCTACTCTAAATTTTTTGCCCTGTGGGTGCCTCAAATGCTAATGGAGAATCACAAACAAAACCAGCAGACCATATGTGCCAAAATGCTCAAGCGTTTTGAAGCCGAAGGTGAGGCATTTCTCTTGCGCATCATATCTGGTGATGAGACATAGGTGCACCATTATGACCTAACCTGCAGTTGGGATTAAGCACAGTCTAACTACCAGCTGTTTGGCCCTTGTAATGATAGGTTATGGGACAGAACTTCCAAGAAGACAATGAAGGAAAAGAAAGTTTTACAGAGACAACATACATGCCTTCCTTGAGTGCTAGAAAGAGTTTGTTGAATACAATGGGAACTACATGGAAAAATAGCCATGTATATAAAAGGGCTTGGTCTATTTTCCAACCCAATTTCATCATTTTTCCTTGAAAGTTTACAGGGAAAAAAATGAGCAAGCATTACTTCATACCGACCTTAGTTTATTCAGGCCTTTATAGCTTTTTGCCTCAGTATCTGTATTAGGCAACTACTTTTTGACTTGAACATTTTTGAGCCACTAATCTATAACATTAATCTCAGTACCGAAACAACAAATATTTGAAATTGATCAATCAGAAAGTATTCAAGAGTGATGAAGACTTCCACATCTGACTCATAGCTCCAGAATATCTAGTATCTGTATCTCAAATACCTTTTGTATAGAGTAATTTTATCATTTATCTAGATACTTTTGCCAAGTATTTTGCCCATTTTTGATAGGGATTTTATTATGAATGACAAGGTAGAATTATGTGTTATTCTTGAATGGAAATAGGCTTTGAGTGCAAATGTAATGAGAACCAACCTCCAGGGATGTGGTAGATATAGGATTCTTGAGAGTATGCAGCAACAATGGCCAATGTATGAAGATGGAATAGAGTTTTTGTGTCCTGATTTATATCCCATGTGTAAGAGTCAATGATGGTCAAGAGACCTCGAAGAAGGCTCAGAACTCCTTGGTCTGGGTTGTCCTAAGGAATAAGCAAAATGCAATTTTATTTTACATTTGCAAACAGTGGTGGCTCATGATCTTTAGCGCTAGTGGAGAGGGGGTAGGCAGTGACCTCCTCTGCCTACCCCATCTCCATAGACGAACCACTAGCGCTAAATATCACTAGCCGCCACTGGCAAGCAATGATGCATTTGCAGTATATTTATTGAGACTCACAGGAAATAACAAGAGAGTGGAAGTGAGCTGGGATAGGATGGATAATAAAAGATGCTCAGTGCTTTTTCTCTTCCCATCCTGTTCCAAAAATTTTGGTACAAATGGGATGAGACTGATGGCTCCTTTCAAGCATGCATCAGCTGAAAGGTTAAAAAAAAGTATTGCTGCAAGACATATAAAGACTTCAGATGCAAACTGGAATGCAAGGACTTTTAACAATAGTTGTGGCATACCTTGTCCCCAGCACTGATTGAGGAGAGCAACCTGGCCAGACAAGAGATAGAGTGAAAGTTGGGCAAAGATGTTCCTCATGGATGGGATTGTGATGAAGCAGAAAGCTGCACAAGCCCTCACAAATGAAGCTGTCTTCCTTGAGTGATTCCCCTTCATGATGATATGCGTCTCAACAGCCAATCGATTCACCAGCTGGCAGAGAGAAATCCATGAATGCCATGGATCACAGGATGCACTGCATCAGTCAATGGACAGAGAACCATAGTAATGACAGGACTGACCTGCACCAGCTGGCTCATGACAGGATCCAAACTGGAGAATGCAGCTCTGGCATCACAGTAGAAATTCAGCTGTTGCTCAAAGTCTCGTCCATAAGAGACAGAGCAGAGAAATCCATTGATGAGCCCACTCATGTGCCTTCTCTCATCTTCCATACTCAATGCACTGTCAAATCAGTTTCAGATAAAGCTTATGTGACAAAGGAAAATGAGACATGGGAGTTACTCAAATAAAAAATTAGAACACCCTTTCAAAGGAGATTTTTCTGCAAACAGCAAACCTACACATGTTAGGAAGAACCAGGAGACTCTTTGCATAACAGCACCATCTACAAAAATTGCTTAAGTAACAAGGAACTGGTAACAAGAAACAAAAAACAACTTGCCAGCAGATACTCAATTCAAATTAATGGCTGCTGGTCTACCCTCAATACATTGGGAGTCAGGTATCTTCAGTGAGTGCATTAACTCAGGAAGCAGCAACTGCCAATCGATTGACAGTTCATCCATCACAGGGTTTAATCTGGCTGCTTCTAGGGTTAAGCAGTGTCTGAAAGTTACAGCCATCACCTAAGTGATGTGACAGCCCATGTACAACTTTTGCAACTTTTGACTTAACCCTTTCTGGCAAAGTGGTTTCAATGTGAAACAACCATTTCAATTATTTTTCATCTAGCATCAAAGTAGTCTCTTGAGACCACTGTGACATAGATATACACAAAGCTATTGTCAGGAAACTGAATTACAACAAAATTTAGAAATAAATGCCTGAAAGGGTCTGTCAACCCAGTTTTACAAATGACAAGGACACAGAAAAGTAGCATAACATTTTTTGGAAATATATTTCCTTGCTTTTAGCTGACCTATAGATGAATGGGAATGCACTCACTTGAGGGAATCATGCATGTTCTTACAGATGGCCAAGAGTGTATTGACAATGAGAGGATCAGGGGTGACAGACTTTTGCCCTTTGAGAAAAGCCTCTATTATGGCTTTACATGCCTCCACTCTCACACTCTCCTTTTGAAATAGGTCCAAATATGGAAGGAAGTTCTCCTGTTGAAAGGAAACACATACATGATAGACTGCACAATATACAGTATACTGTTATGACTTCTGTCTAACATGGAATCAGAAAAATTGCTCAAGAAATTTTTGCCTGATAAGGCTTTGGTTCAAGTGGAATTTCTTCCAATACATACAACAGAAAAAAGGAGGTTGAAGTCCTTGTCATACGAGAGGATGCGATCCAGGATGACATGCAGTTCATGATAATGTGCCTCATATGCTCGACCAGGGGTCATTCGACGGATGACATCACCAAGAAATGCATTCAACTCCTTTTTCTGCCATCAGAGATATTCACATCACCATGTGTCACACTATTTCCAGCCTTAACTAAAATCACATAAGGTAAAGGATGGAATTTTCTATTAAAGTAGGCAGCTTTTACATAAAGAATTATTCTGTCTTTCTTAGTACTACAGAATTGAAATGGCAAACTTGGAGGGAGGCTATGAATATGTCTGGCACTTCACTTAGTTATAAACAGGATAAGGTATTAATCTGTGGAACATGTGCAATATTAGATTAATCAAACTGAGTCTGGATGACCAGAAAACTTAACTAAATTCAAATTAAAAAGTAGTTGAATGAGCTATCCTCTGCTGAATAATGCTGTATTAGTATATCAAGCAACTTAAAATGCTGGACATTTGAATGCTGAAACATAGAAGTGTTTACTCTCACATTCATCAAGTACATCATTTCGGGTCTACAAACCTGAAACTTTTTGAAGAGAAACTGGATTCATATAAATTATTATTAAAAAAAGTGTTTTTAATGAAGCTTGTATGAAGAAAAAAAATGCAGAAGTAAAACCACATGTAAATAGGGCCAATACAGGCCCTAGTAAAAGCTGATGGGGACTCATGATTCAGGCCATATGGTTTCATTCTTTGTTCTCTTAGTCACCAGGAGACATTTAGAAATACCTTTCCAAGTTCATATTCACCTGCACGGTCATACCCATTTTCACGCTTACTTTTACAAAGGCCAATGCTACTTCAGGGCTGGTAGAGTTTTGCCTACTGTGAGAATGATAATCCATGAACAACACAGAGTAGACTGATGTAAGTAATAAAGTAATAGAAGTTTCGTAGGGAGAAACTGACTGAGAAATGCTTGACAATGTATTCAATCCAAACTTCAGCACAGGCCATATATTGTGCTGGGGTAGAAAGCTTAGTAATTCCCTTCCACACTTCATTCAATACCATCCTCCTCTGGTCAAGTGGGGGATCAGCAAGGAGCAGGCAAAGACCCAGTGTACGATATAGGACATGCAATGGGAATCCAGTCTCCTCGAACTCTTTCATCAACTCCACCAGCTCCAAAGCTCGCTCTGCCACATCATTAGGCCTAAAGGCAGCCATCAGGGAGTTCAGCACCAGGGCACTGTCAACAAGAATCAAACACATTCTTAGTCAAAAGTTCACAAACAAGACCAGGTTAAAAAAAATTAGTAAACTTGAAAGACTGACTTGTGGCCAAAAGGAGAAATCTCAGAGAGGAGTTGAGAAAGTTGGGAGCATGATGCAATACATTCCAAAATCCAGTCAAGGGCTGGTGTGTACAGTGTAAGGTATTCTGACCATTCCATCTTCTGTTTGGAAACCTCTTCTCTAACATCAGGGCTTTTCAACTGCATATAAAAATTACACTATGAAAAAGACATCGGTGGTAATTACAGTCTCTCCTTTGACTTTCAACACATTCTTCTATATTCAGCTCACCTGTGGGAATATTCTAAGAAAATCAAAGAGATTGGGGAGAAGATACTGTTGCTCCATAGGGAGGATGGAAATGGCAACGCGGCAGAGATAGCACCGAGCATAAGTGGCAACCAATGGATTTCCAAATCCTCTGATCATCCCAGTCAAGCGCTTCACTGCAGCAGATAGCTCTCTGTATGTGAAGGATGATACCATATCTGATCAAGGGAAACTAAGGAAAAGGCTGCCTTCAAATATGTGGATAAAAGTTACCCACTCCAAGCTAATGAAGTTATAAGACTTCAGGATGGCTGCCTCCAAGTAAAAGCGAGGTAATAACTCCCTAATAGATGAAACCTTGAAAAACCAGTTCCGTGCTGTTTCCTTGGCACTTTCTGGAACTATTTCTGGGGTGAAGTCCAGTGGAAGTTCAATAGGCTTTCCCACTCTAGGGCTCCTTAAAAATAAATTTCATGTCAAATTTTAAGATATAAAATTTTCAAATTTATGAAAGTGAGAAACACAAAAAATTCATTTTTAGCACAGTGGGCTAGACTTCATGAGAACCTGGCTGAAATGAATGAGGTTGGTTGTGACCAGGTATTCTTGCAGTCTATCCAAAAGTGCTACAGGGAAACTCACGGACTATATTCAGCCTTTCTGAACAATCGTTCATATACTAAGTCCCCAAAGTTGTCCAGGATGTCTGTCACAAGAACAAATTTGCTTGGGTAGAAATTCAACACACTTGTGTCAACCAGCAACTTGGCACACTGCAAAAGAACTCCAAGTTGAAATCACTTCAATATCAGATAGGAGGGGGTCATGAAAATATAGGCCTACCACTCAACATGACCCACTTGAATTGCAATCTTGAGGGCCTTGACACGCTGGTCATCAGACCATGCCTGAGTGAGGGCAGTATTAAGTTGTTGGATGCGACTTGTGTATTCTTGTTGTGAAAGATTCAGCATTTCTCGAATAGAACCCTCTTCAAAATCATCTAACTGCTCCAAACGATGTTTTACCTTGTCCACTGTACTTGTAGCTGCCTTCACCACAACTGATGAAAGAGACACTTCTTGAAAGTACTGAATGTTTAGAAAGCTCTGATGAAGACAGACTCGCTGAGCTTACCTTTGTCACCTCCTGCAAGGAAGCTGGTAATCATGGAGAGTTTTTCAGAAGTGGTGAATCTTGCAAGAATGGACTGCCTTCTTGAACTCCATGGTTCCATGAGACTGCTAGATTTGTCAGAACTCTTTCCTGTGGCAGAACTCCTTGTACCCTGAGATATATTCCCGGTGTGACTTTATAAAATCCATATTTCTCAAGTTTGGAATTTATCAATGGGAATGACAATGCATTAACAGGGCACCTTGTAGAATATGAAGTCATACAGCAAGTTTTACCAAATGCTATAGAGCCTCATTAACATATCAAGGTAAGTTTTGGAGTTTATTTATAAATACCCAAAGCAGAACATAGCTGATTTAGACCAAAATGAAGATTCACATTAGGACTGACAAATGCCTGAGTTAAACATTTCTGGAATCGGCCCCAAATCCTTCAATATAAGCCATGAATGCTCATGGATAATGTCACAAGAAATGACTGGTTGCAGCCCTCTCACATGGCCCAGGATAGTCTTGTTACAATTCCTTGCCTTTTTGCTCTGTGGGAGGGTTCCATCTTGCTCATGAAGAAACTGACTAAGAGGATCCAATGGGTCTTCATTCTCAACAGCCAGTGATAAAGGATCAAATACTCTTTCAGAATCATGCTGGGGTGTAATGATGCCACTGGATCCCTCACTTGCTCTCTCACTTCTGGATGATTTTCCAATGTCACCAGTCTGCAATCATATTTAGATTTGGAAAATGATAAATCTTGATTAATGAAAAAATTAAGTTGCTTCATGCAAGTAATATAATATAGTTCATTTTCCAGGAGCTATTTGGTACCATGATCAGTCTTGGAGGGAATAATGTGAACAACCAATGCATCAAAGAGATCAATTTTCACTGTAGCTGAAACTATGCTACACATCATGTATAGTATGTATTTCATGTATTTGTTGCATCTGTTATGGGAACATGAACAATCACAATGCTTAAAAGAAGGACAAGGAGAGAGTGAGGAAAGAAGACACAAGATTCTCTTGATGAATGGCATTCCCTTCTCTCATCATTCTTCAAAGACTCTCTGGGATAGAACTTGTTATTCTGAGGTGTCATAAGTCTTTCTTGTATTTTGATATTGGAAGACTAATAAAAGCATGCATGCACACAGACAGTATCAGCTTAAGAGTCAGTTTGAAAATTGATGCAAACTGAAACATCCCTTAAACATGGAAACTTTACTGAAGGCAGTTTCTTTAACCTATTCCCCTATTCATAGGGATTGGTTAGAGATCTTTCATTTTGATAGGCTTGTTAACTTGAAGTACACATTTACATCATCTGGATATTTCAAGGGGATCAAGATGATAGCAGTGGGATTAAGGAAGCACCTCAAGAGATTCAGTTTTCATGCATTTGCTTGTTTTCCTTCTTATAATTAACTCTGCGTACTTGTACAAGGTGTAGCAAAAGCATCATGGGACTATAGTTGCTATAGGATGAGGGATTCTCTGGGAATTATACTAGTCATAGAGGACCAGTTAAATGACTAATGCACCCTCCAGATCATTCCCTGCTTCACTTTCTTCTATGGGGACCTCAAAAGTGTATATAAACTGTCCATGCACTGCTGAAGCAATAAAGGGCAATATTCATCAAGCATGTGCTGATATGGACCCACTGAAAATTTTCAGGTGCAGTTTTACCAACAAAATTATAACATGCTATGATGGAGATGGTACTCAAATTAGGCCCCAATGGTACCTTACCCATTACACAGGACTTATGTTATACCCTGTATATAGTTGATATGAAAATTTGCCTTTTTGTACTTCATGAGGAAATGATGACTTACACCTATTGAAAATACTCTGTCAAAATCAGATACAAGCATTTTCAAGCTACCTTCAAAACCATTCTTTATGCCTGTTTGTCTTGCCCTTGAAACCAAGATCCACGTGCTGTGCTACATACTTTCAGGTACCTCTTAAAAATATTATTTCACAATATTTAATAGAGTAAAGAGTGGTTATGTTTATAACCATTTTCTTCATTCTTTTTACCATTGCAACATTTTCTTCATTTATTACTCCTCTTTCTCTTCTTGATTTCTGCAGTAGTTGTACTTAATTACAATGGTGAACTGGGGGAAAGGCATGATTGAAGGAGACACTTATTGTTCAAAGGTGAAGGAAAGTTGCTTATTGAAGGTGGACGAAATAATTTTCAATGTCCAAAATTTATATTTCAAGTAGGTATCCTCACTTGGAGTAATATCCTAGCTTCTGGATAAGTACAAAAATGACCAATTCCTGAAGCTAAAGAAGTGCCAGATGATGTTCCACTTCGGAAGATGATTCAGGACTTTCTCCAGCATATGATGTACACACAAACATTATGCACAACTAGACAAACTAGGCTGATATCAGAATAGTAGACCCACATTATCTTATTATGGGTAAACAGGCTAAGCATGTTTACCCATGTTTGGGCTTGGCCTCCTGAAGGTAAATGTTACTTTTTAGCTTAGAGTATAACTTACCACAATCATGGGCCTCAAAGGGTGTTTCTCCAAAACTTCTTGAGTGTGGCACTGAAGTTTTGCCCTTTCCTGCTCATAGCTTCTATCACGGCTTTTCCTATGAATGCATTTCAATGTACCATTAGAGTTATATGAATTGCAACTCATTTTAAATATCCAAAACAATTTTTTTTATCTTTTACAGCATACACCCATTGAAAAATAAAATAAAATACTTGATTAAGCCTCAGTCAACATAGAAAACAAAAGCGATGCCTCACCATCACAAAGACTATTTCTGATAGTAACCATAGAAGATAGGCCTTACAGATTCTTAACAATGTACGGCTTCACAGAATTTCACATTATATTATAACCCCTCCCCTCCTAATTTTTCGTCTTACAAATGGTTGCCGGATGTCGATGTAAACTTTCAAGTTATTGTGACGTTCTCAAATAAAATTTTTCTACTAGATTATTCCTCTCCACGGACCTTGTAATTTTGAGAATAAATTGATGACAGTCCTAACGTTAGGCCTACCGTGGTCTGGTGATAAGTTCGAACCCTTTAATGCAAACCAATTGTTTTTCTAAATTTCTCAAACATCGGTACTGTCAATGTTCTTTTAGGAGCATACAAACTAATCGCGAAATCGCTGTAGCCTATGGAAGTGCTGGAAATAGCGGCACTCACCACATGTAGGTAGCCATGATTATGTATACAGTAAGTTGCCATGCTGTAGTTGGGATTGGTCAACACAGGCGCCGTCGCCGTGCGAGCCTAATCGGAAAAGTTGAACTGAATACGGTTTGAGAGAGGACACCAGGGCCGGCGCGAGTACCCCTGCGTCCCCTGCGGCCGCAGGGGGCCCACGCAGAATCCAGGGGCCCCCAGCCCCAAGAGGAAGAAATAAATAATAATAAAATAGGAAGAACGAAAGAAACGAGAAAAAACTTTGAAACGCTGCGAGTTATTCCGAAAGAGATCCAAGCTCTGAATGAGACGAAGAATACTCCTCGGTCTTCCTACTCTGGACAGGCGAGAAGGCCGAGCTGGGCGAAATCCATCACCGTCCCAAAGCATGAAAAGTGTTCTTATTTATTTTAATTTAATTCCTCCATAATTTCCGCGTGAAATCCTCGCGCTTGGAGGCACTTGAGGTGAGAAAGGCGTCCGAGTAGAAAGGTCTACCTCGTTTTCATCCCCCCTTGTCTCCCTTGATCACGCTGTTACATTTCAATTTAACAAAATATGGACATATGAAAATGTGCGCAAATATTCGAAGCATACTTGTGCATGCAGCTATGCCACAGATACCCAGAGCCATCTTAAGTCAAGCCGACAATTGATACCAAGAGAGTGTGGCCTACGGCTTTTGACTTATGGAAAAGAGCCGTTTTAGCTGTTATTAAGCTTTATTAATTAAAAAAAAGCTCAACAAGTTCATAATATGGACAAAACAAAGTCCATATTAAGACCAGTTTGCAGTATCTGAAATATGTACTATCGATCCTAATTATGAAAGGATGGCAACCCTAATCATCGATGGTACCTGTGCAAAGCTTAGGCACATTTTGCCAAGGTTAACCTCAATGGCTGAACGACTTCGTCGATGAGCTTCGCAGTCTGGTACACTTCTATCAGAGTCACTTGATGCTCTTGGAACTCCGCGATTCATTCGCAAGAGTAGTCAGGCCCGTGTATCCCAACGTGTCCATCGCTCTTGGAGTGCTACTCACGGCTCCTGTGAGAGTTGCATCTGCAGAAAGAAGCCTCTCCAAACCGAAACAGTTTATAACTTATCTAAGATGAAGTGTGCCACAAGAAAGCCTGACAGGACTAGCTATAGGCCTACTCTCTATCGAGAGAGAGGTCAGCAGGTCATTGAATTACAAGAAAGTGATCGATGAGCTGGTGGCGTAGGCTCCGAGGATACGAACGCTAAATCTTTGGACAACCTACACAGATTCCTCTCCTTTCTTTGCTTAATGAAAATGTAGTGATTTTTTTCCTGATGTAACTTCGATAATCGAAAATGAAATAAGGGGCAAATCTCTAAATCTCCGGAACCAAGAGGTGGCCCAATGTAAGTATTTACCGCAGGGGGCCCCGCATTTTCCCGCGCCAGGCCTGGATGGAGGGATCAGGAAGAGACAGGTGCAGTGATCCAATCGTTCAGATTTAGTAATGGCTTTCCAATGTTCACTGCATATTCAGTCCAGCATCCGAAGGGAAAAATAATGTGCGGAAAGATTTGAATGTTTGTACCCTCACATCAGAATCTCGAGTAAATTTGTATTTATTCTCACAGGATTGAAACAATCCTTATTCTTTGGAGTGTATCTGACAGCAAAAGGTAAATCCTACATTTTATCAATGACTGACGGCCTACAGTACATTAAACTGCTTGTCAGATTAAGTCAATCTTCAGTCTTCGTTCTCAATATGTTCTGCCTTTAAAAAAATAGGCAGGAGCCAGAATAAAGCCTGGTCTGATTTGTTTTTTTCCCTATGGGAATGAGGGTTATCTATTCCCCATAGAAAATGAGTGGAGCGTCTTTTTTGAAACACCCTATATATCATTTCCATATAGCCCTGCAAAATATACGGAGAAAATTGTGGAACTCCTGAGTCCTGCTAGGACTGAGTGGGTAAACGCCCAATGCCTATAAGACCGTGCTTTTCTAGGCCATAGGCTAGGCAGTTCTGGCAATTCTGGGACATCTTGTTCACGAATCCTACTTTTAAAAAAAATCCAACTTAAACAGAAGCAATGCAACCGCAATGCAACGTAAAGGTTAGATAGCGGTTATTTTGCAACCTGACCCGGCAAAAATTTTCGGCTGGAAATATTACTGGTTTTATCCGGTTTGTGATGGATTTTTCCGGCAGGTGGATTGCGTGCAAGAAACGTAACTTGTTCCAATCGGGAATTTGAAGGTAGGCATTTTCCAACAGGAAAAGCAGAAATCTCACAGAATACAGCTGGATCCTGTTGGTTCGTTCCAGCTGAAAACAGCATACCAATTTACGACTAGTTCTGGTTGGAATTGCTGCAGCTCCTGCTGGAAGTGGCACACATTTACTGATGGAAAGCTTGCTGTTTCTAGCTGGAACTTTTTGCTGGGGAGTGACCCGTTTCAACGTTTCTGCTACGTTGTTCTGTAACTTCCAAGCGACGAACTTTTTTGAGACATTACGTTGTCATAGTGTGACTTTGCAGCAACGTTCCAACGTCCCAAAACAACGTTCCTGTAACGTTACTTGGACGTCACATGTTGCTTGGGCTGACAGTCATACATGGTGCACTTCCAATGAATGAGTGCCGGCGACGAGGGAAAAATGTTCTAACTCAAGTGAAAAATACTACCCAAGCAGGACATGACCCCACACAACACAGGTATATCCCAAAGATATCCCCTTGGAACAAGTGCGATGTCCCAGAGACAAGGAGTAGGGACATCTTAGGGATATCAAAATGTTTGGACGTAAAGACATCCCAAGGACGTCTCTTTCTTGCAGCACAAGTATATCTGAAGGACGTCCCTGAGAACAAGTGTGATGTCCCAGGTAGTACTTGCAGGCACCTTTCTATCTACAACGGACTCGTTTCCTACCGCACAGGAGAACCCATTGCTTTCGACGATGTCCAGACTTCCTGTCTACTTTGATGCCCTGAAGGATTGGAAGCTGTTTTCGAACCCAAAGAAGATCACTTTCCAGCAGGATGGGGCCCCAGGCCACAGTTCTGACCAGAACCTGCAGCTGTTGAGGGAGGAAATTCAGAACGTTTGGTCCAAAGGAATCTGGCCTGGTGCATCAGACTTTCCACCGATAGAGCACACATGGACCATCCTACTGCTGCTGAGGGAGGAAATTCAGAACGTTTGGTCCAAAGGAATCTGGCCTGGTGCATCAGACTTTCCACCGATAGGGCACACATGGACCATCCTACAAAATTCCGTCCTCGAAGCTCCTCGCCCCCGAAACAAGGAAGATTTGGTGACTCGATTCACCGAAGAGAGGAATTCAATCCCACTGGCTACACTGGAAAACCTCATCGATTTTTTCCCCCGTGGAGGATCGAGGCTACAGCTGCTGTTGGTGGTCGAACGACCAATTACTGATGTATCAATTACTGAAACAAGTATGATAGTTTCTGTTTTGTTTGTTAAGTTTCTTAAGAATTACGCGAGGAAAGTGTAGCTAGTCAAAAATGCATAGAGACTTTTGCGCCACCCTGTATGCGTTGCATTCCGATTTTCTGTGACGTCCATGCGACGTCACTGCCACGTGCTTTGGACATCAAAATCCCTGCCGTTACCCTTAATGATTTGCATCCGTATAATGTCCTAGACTGTGGTGTCCTACACATAGGACAGTACAGAAGTTGTTTTGCCACTGACCATACTCATTATAGTACATGTTAGCAGAAAAGCCACCTCATTCGATTAAGTGACCGCAATATTATTCTGCCAGCAAAATGAGGAAAGGGCGAACAAGGACACGGCCACTCCCTCTCATTTCAAAGTATTCTTGGCGATTAAGGCCTTCCTTTTTTTATGCTAAAAACATACAATGCAATGTAACAAGAGGGGAATATGAAATCAAAAGAAGCCCAGCTGGACGTAAGGGTCTTATCAGGTGCCCCAACATGATTTTTCAGCCCCCCTCAAGAGGCAACTAGTCAATTGTGGGAAGTGAGGTTAGCGACTGATTTGGGTGTGCTCCCCTCTTTTTCCTGAAGGCTTTTGGGGAGAAGAGAAGGGAAAGGGTCGTCTTTGCAGAATTCATCAAGATGCCTCTTTTCTTCCTCCTCTTTCTCCAGTTCACATTTGAGATGGGCTTCTTATGAATTTTGAGTGTATATGTGCTTCTCCTGCGTCTGTAGAGGTAGAAAGAGAGGTCCTCCTTCCCAAAAGGACCTCCTCTCTTCCATTTCTTTTGCCGCATCAGGTGACGTTTTCTACTGATTCGGGGGACTTTCCGGGCATGGCTTCGGAGCTGTTCACCTGAACCAGGTGAACAGCTCTCTGAATGCGGCGTGGGCGACTGTTTGGCTGAGCACGTCTCCTCGTTGTTTCCTTCTTGATCCTGTCCTTGTGTTTCTCACTGGACGCTCCATTCTTCTTTTTTTGCAGTATTGTGTTGAGTCTTGAGCGGAGGGAAATGCAGTATTTCCCCCTCAGTCAAGGTCTCCATTTCTTCCTCCTCATCTTCTATATTTACAAGGACTTCAACCTCCTCGTTGTTTGCGCAGGGTAGATGTGAAGATTCCTTCTTGTTCCAGCTCCACAGCTTCCACCTAGTGCCCCTTGTTCGTGCACAGGTCCGACTTGGAACGTAATTGAAATAGGTGGTGTTCTCATATTCATCAGCAGCATACGTAGATCCACACCATGAGTTTACATTCTCAGGTACAAACAGTGGTGAAGCCTTGGGCTGTTGGCACATCTTCAATCTCTTCTTCAGCTTCATGCACCTCTTCAACATTCACAGTAAGGTAGGGCAGTTCAACATACGGTGATGTGGCTGGATTAGATATGCTGGCTGCAGGGAATTGAAGATACACAAACTGCTTCAGGTTCAGCCTCAGGGCGTAGAGAGTTTGCAGGTTGGGGTCCGATATCCATGCTCCAAACTCCCCCTTCCCAGCCCCTCCCCTCCATGTGAGACTACCCTTTCTCACTCACCATCCGTAACCCAACGCACTCATCATCTCCATCACCACCTCTCTCTCTCTCATTAAAATGGGGGGAAAAAA